CATCCCTGTATCCTCTCGCTTATCATATTCTGGATGATCTGGAGATTGCCGTTGAAGGGGAGAATGCTGTTGAAGGGGAGAATGATGTTGTCTGGGTAAGCAGCGGCTCTGATGACAGCAGCAGCAGTGGAAGCTCTGATGATGGACCTGGGCTGGAACCGTTTGTCGAAGCACTTCAGGCTCTGTTAGAATATGGGTCAGACGACGTCAGCGATGGTGCTTAAGAGAGATGTCTCTGTTTTTTTTTTTCGCTGAGATCATGTTGAAGGGGAGCTTGAGTGCTTTGCTGGTTATTTCTCTTAGTTGGATTAAGAGGTGTTTTGGTTGGTTTGGACCTTTGTTTGCTTTGAGTTGTTTTGACTGCGTGGTTGTGTTTGGTTCTGGTTATTGACTGCTACTTTTGAATGTTTGAGCTTTTCTTGAGTTCGTTCTTCTCTTAATCGTTTAAGTACTCTTTATCTTTGTTGAGCTGCTCGTGCTGTTGGTCGAGAGAAGGAATGTTTTCTTTTGCAGGCAATCGGCAATCTCTGATTTAAGGGGAGATTGTTGAATGAAGTTACCAAATCAGAATTGCTCTAAAGAAGGAAAGAAGGACAACCAGGAACAGCTCAGAGTTTCCATAACCATCCTCCTTCACCATTCAAAAGCAACGGTCAAAAGATTGCTGAAGGCTATATATTCAAGTGTCCTGTTAACTTGATCGGCACTTTTTGTAAGGGTGGAATAGGGCTGCTTACAATCTGGGTTAATCAAACAGGGGAAAAGGTTCTGTTTGATTAGCGGTGTAACGGGTTTGGGGATTAAGATCCGGGTTAAAATTCCTGCACTTGTACTTTGAGTCAATCTCGTTTATCTTTTGCTTGATAGGAAAAATTGAATAAAAAGAGTCTCCTAGATGTCAGCAAAGTGCTGAGTCTAGGACGAGGAGTGACCAGTAGATTGGGAACCTCGTTAAATTGCCTGTGTTCATTTAATCTTTCTGCTGCGCTTAATCTTGGTCACTTGATCAACTCGTGCTCTGTTTTGGTCGAAGTTCCCCTGCTTCTCTGGTTCATCTTCTCGACAAGATGACTGTAAGCAGAGATCAAATAGTGGGCTTAAACTTCCTTGGGCTCGGCTGATAAATAAACTGGCTTTCTTTTAATTTTCCTTTTGGGCTTTTCACTGCTTTCGGCCCATGTTAATAATTGAAGAGAACTGACGAAGACAGTTCACTCGTCTTCTTCTCTCTTCTGCAATTCCCGTCTCTTCCATTTCTCTGTTTGTCGAACCCTATTTTTTCTTCTCCATTTCTTAGTTAACAGATGTTTGATTTAACTTGATTTGGTTTGTTTGAATTTTTATTTGTCATTATTAGATTAGAGGCTTGCTAGCCATGTCGGTTAGGATTGGATGCTAAACGAGATCACCTTAAGGGGTCATTTGGATCCAGATTTTTAATTTGTGGGATTTTGGCTCAAATCACTGGTTTAAAAACCCAGGTTTTTAATTTGTGGAATTTGTGTGGGATTTCAAAATAGCTGATCACCATCGGCTATTTCATAATCCCACAATTGGGGGTTTCTGAAATCTCTAATATTTAAAATCTCTTATCATATAATTGCTTTCCAAACGAGTGATTTTAATAAAATCCCACGTTATGTAGGATTGTGCCCAAATCCCACACCCAAAACCTGCATCCAAGTGAATCTCGGGTATTAGTAGGAGATACGGGGATTGAATGAAATAAGATTGAGAAAATTAATTTGAGAAAAAAAACCAAGTTCCCGACTTGTTCTAGTATTAAACGAACGCTTATCTTCACGTTGGAACCATTGTTACAACACATGTTCCTTTTCGATCTTTTATGGAGTTGGCTTTAGACCAAATTAGTTTATTAGTTCACTCAAGGCTGTTTGCCCATGTACAGATGGAATGAATAGAAGGTCGTCTTCAATAAATTGGGGGTAATTAATTCCGTAAGTTCCTTACATTTTCTATTCATCAACAAAGCTAAAATATTCAAATCTTAGTTTCTTTGGCTTCAGATTGAGGGGGGACTTAGACGGATGGTGATTCTCTGTTTCTTTGGCTTAATTCGGATTGTGTGTACGGTGGCGACGGAGCTTTTCCACGGAGACAGGCTGGAAAGTCTTTGCATTCGTTGGGAGAATCGCTAAGCACCTTCAAGCCTCAAGGATTCCAACAGGACATACGGAGTGAGGGACGACGCAGACGGAGGGCGATTCTCTGTTTATTTTGCTTCAAATCGTGTGGTACGGTGGCGGCAGAGCTGTTCGACGGAGATAGTGGGCCGGTGAGGACGAGGGTTTCGTGTTTTTTTTTTTTTTTTTACCGAATAAATGCAGGAGGAAGACGGTGAAGGACCAAGTGGAGGCGTATGGTAGAGACGGGAGATTGGATCGATCGACTACGGAAGTGCTTTTGAGTTTTGATAGCGAGCCGGACCGGGAAAAACGATACTTGTACTGTGGGGAAATCCAACGTTCATTATTCCGTCCGTCACTTTAGGGAGTGACCGGTTTGAGCTAGCTGGGTTAATGTCCATTGGGCTTGGGCAGTTGGGCTGACCTTTAATACACTCAAGAAGCCACGTCAGTTTTACCGTTGTCAAGGTGGACCAATGGAAAAGTAGCGGCACCGGTGCCGCACTTTTAATAGAGGCACCATAGTATTGGCCCTATTTTAATCCCTAATTTTGTGCGATCAAACAATCCATATTGAAGGAAGACTCGAACTAAAACAACTAAACAAGGGAACAGTAATGATTGGGTTGATTATTTGTTCAGTGAATTGAGAAAAAGTTTACCCCCACCAAGTCTCTTCCCTTAGGATTTCGGAATCTTTTGTTGTTTCCGGGTAAATGTGTCAATTTTCAATTTAATTTAATCCAATATAATCCTTTCGCTCAATGTAGTAAAAAACGAGTTTTTACGTAGAAACGTTTTGGTGATTTAGAAGTGTAAAATCGTAAGTTTTTAAGTTTTAAAGCGGAGTTATTAACTACATAAGTTATAAAAACTGAGATTTTGTGTAGAAGCGTTTTAGTGACCTAGAAACATAAAATCGTAAGTTTTTAAGTTTTAAAGCGTCATTTTGACTACATTGCTTCTGCTTAAATCTCAAACTAATCCAATTTATTTACATCTAAATCCAATTGGACTAATGGATTCATGTATTATTGGCAAATCATAGTTTAGCACCAATATTTTTTAAATTTTACAATTTAGTACATAAAATTGTTTTTATACGAAAAATATCATAGGAATATTACATTTGGTATCTAATATTTTTATTAGTATGTCATTTTAGTACCTTAACTTTACATATTAATCCAATCTTTAGATGTTGTTTGGATCCATGATCCAATTCACCAATCTATTTGATCTAATTAATGAATCCAACCATCCATATGATCCATATATCCAATCCATTTGTCAACCCTATTTCCAAGTAGGACTACAAATGAGCCAAATCGATCCGAGTTTTGACCCAGTTTGAGCTTAGCTTGTTAATAAACGATTCGAGCTCGAGTTTGGCTTGTTTACTAAAACCTTAGCTTATGTTTGACTCGAGCTTGGCTTGTTAATGAGCTCACGAGATTTACTCGAGTTTGGCTCATCAATCACATCGCAAGATAGGCTGTAGCTCAAGTATCATATCATTTAGTTCATAAATTTTAATTTTTCATATAATGTTATTTGATAATAATTAGTATTTAAACAATCTATTATCCATAATTTCAGTTTAAAAATATAAATGAAACATATTTGGTCATATCTTCATAGTCTTAAACATTGTATATGATGATATATATAATCTAACAAATGTATGAAGTATCTACAAGCCAACTAATAAGTTATTCTTCGATTCGTCTCCTTAAGTTATTCGTAGAGGAGGCTCTCTAACTATACTATCGAGCCAATCCATAGCTCACAAATTAGCTAACTCATGAGTTAGCTCAACAAGCGACCAAGTCGAGCTGGTTGGCGAGCCTTACAAGCTGATCAAGGCGCAGCTTGAGCTTGACTCATTAGTAAACGTGTCGAGTCTCGAACATGCTTTTTTCGAATCAAACGTCGAGCCACTCGTGAGCAGTTTTGGTAATATTTTGCACGCTTGTTAGCCAAATAAGGATAAGAGTAAGTTGGGTTGAGTTTTCATTTCTTTTAACAGCTTCCGGTTACCATTAATTCGCGGAATCCTCAGGGGAGGGTAGAAATAATTGGACAATAGACAGAACACCATTTTTGTTCTTCTCACATAAATTAAGGGTTTGATTTGGTTTTGGTGATACTTATATTAATATTACTGTGATCAATGCATGCATTGTAATATACATGCAATTAAGGAAAATGATGTAGTGTAGTTTACCATGTTTGGGTTTGGTGATAGTTATTTTAGTATTCAAAAATTGTATTTTTTTTTTATGAAATATACTTTTACCCTTATTTTTATGGATTGTAGACGAACGCCAGTCTGTAGTAATTCTACCCCTCTTTAATCAATAGAGATAGACACATGTGTTCGACTTGAGGATACAAACACTAATTGCATATGTTAGACAAACAACGAGACTTAGGTAAATAGACCGATGATGAAATTTTAAAGGGCCAGGGTGTTAAATTGAGCGCTTGGTAGAGACATCCACGAAAAAGTGGAAGGAACTGAGCATGGGTGTTCCCGAAAAAATCATAGCAGATTAAATAATTAAATTTTAAGGGTATTATGAGAATATAAATAAATAATTAGGAATATAATTAAAACAAAAAAAGAATCAAACAATCCCCACTAAACTATTTCAACAATTTCAAGTTTTAGGTGAGATATTAATATCACTCATTTAATCATTTTGAATGATTCTTTCTATCACATCAAGAATACAATGAATTTGCAGAAAAAACCAAAAAAACTTCTCTTTACTGTTATCATCCCCTAGAGCGGAAATGCTAATGTTAGATAGTTTCATACTTTCATTGGTTCGCCCAAAAAGAAAAAAAGAGTACTTCACTACTTCAGTGACCAAACTGAACTATATAGTTGAGTTGAGTGCTTACTTTCGTATTTAACCAGAAGAAAGATCAACCGTAAAAGGACTGTCTTACGGGCTACGGCTGCCGGCAAAAAAAGAGACGTATTTCCCCCACCAAAACACAGAGAAAGAGAGATGTCGGCCAATGATCCGCGACAGCCAGCGGCCGCGAAACCCTTCGTCCCTCCGGTGGTTGCGCCGGAGGAGATGCCCGTCGATTACTCAGGCTTCCTCGCTGTCCTCTTCGGCATAGCCGGCGTCATGTTCCGGGTGAGTCTACTTTGTTAAAACAAATCGAGATTTATCTTCCCCAACTTGCTTGATTCACCAAATTCAGTTTCCGTTTGGGTTTTTTTCCCATTCACTTTCGATTCAAATATATCGACTGTGTTGAAGCTACTGCCTTTTTCTCTCTATTCCAATTTGATGGTTTTGGATGGCCTACTTACTTTCGCTGCCATTAATTAGGAGATGTGGAATGCTGGAAATTTTCGGTGCTCTGAATCTGGATTGTGCTTATCTTTCGTGTCCTTACAGTTCATTTTCTTCCTTCGCAGTACAAGCTTTGCTCGTGGGTTGCCCTAATTTTTTGCGCCCAGTCGCTTGCCAATATGAAGAACATTGAGAATGACCTGAAGCAGATCTCCATGGCCTCCATGTAAGTGCTAACAACAAGTCTACATTGTCTGCCGAGGCTGTGAAATTTCATGCCTGTGTTGCTGATTTGTTTGTACTGCTTGTTATATGGCACAATGGTTAATTGGGATGATGGTAATATGCTTGTTGCTCTGCCGTCTTGCTAATCGCCTTTTCACCCTTAGCTGCAAAGATGAATGTGTTTAAATCCACCATTGCGATACACAAATGTGAGTCTAGTGCAGTGGACGGACGCATAATTGTTTTGAATTGATCTTAGTTGATGTTGGAGTCAGTTTCTTAAGTATCTCAGTAAGTGTTGAGCATATGGGACACCAGGTTAATGAAAGGTGGAACCTTTATCTGTTTATCTTTCAATTTTAGATACGATCTCTTCCCTTAAAGATTATTTTGGGACATGAAAGTACCCTTGCTACTGTCTCACAAGGACAAGGGCTACATATCCCAGATCATCGTACATGGTTGTTTGACAGTAAAAGAAGAGAACTCTTTGAGGTTTCAATGTGTAGATCTGCTATCTATACTGTGGTCGAACTGTTGCCTAAGTGGGACTGATTTGCGTAACATAATTGTCCTTTTTGCTTTTCAAATGTGTCCTGCATTTGTTCTTGATTATCATATGGTCCACTGCTGTGCTATAATTTCCAGAGGAACACCTAGCTTAATTATGTTATAAACATTGATTCCTTGCCAGAATTGGGTGAATAATACTCTACAGTCTACATACTCTTGTCATGTTCACTCCACATATGTAGAAATACCACATCTTAATTCATTGGTTCCTTAGCATAGTAACATACTATAAATTCTGGAATCTATAGCCCGTGCAGCTGAATAGATGTATTAGTTCTTGTACTATGATGTCTCATGGAGATCATTATGCCAACTTTTAGCATCCATAATCCTAATCTGTTATAGATGCAAGTGCAGTGAGCGAGCAGTAACTGGCTGGCTGTTATCCTCGTTCTGTGTGGCAATTCTGAGTTTTTGGGTTTCCTGATACAGGTTTGCAATTATGGGATTGGTGAATAACTACATGGGACTTGCTCGACCCGGCACGAAAGCTTGATAGTTAATTTGCGCAGGAGGGGAAATGGGTACTAGCATGTCTGCAGATCGTTTTTTTTTTTTTTGAACCGATACATGCTCAGAATATTTTGGCAGGGCCAAATTGCACCATTAATCACGGTCTTTAAAACTTCGTTCATGTTTGCATAAAAGAAAAAGAGCAAACGTTTCGTAGTGTAACCGCTACTGGCCTTGCACCTTCGTTGTTTCATCATTAGTAGTTGTTTGGCCAGCTCTGTTAAATTAATCCTACAAACTATTGGCTTCGACGATAGCTTTGACTGTTGAGTAGGTGACTGGTATTTTGGTGTACCGATGAAGCGCTGTCAGAGATTCTTCTTGTCCTTGCCGTCGTAAAGCTTTTCAGTGTATTGGTAGAGTACGTAGGCGAAAGGAACGTCACAGGCGGATTTGGTCTCCGTGCTAATTATTTTCACCTGTTCTGTACAAGGTTTCATACGATACGAGGCACAGTACGATGATCTTGCCTGCTGTCGCCGAACTGTTGTCGCAGACGTCGCGTCCCCTGGATCCTCCCTCGGTGATTTCTTTGGAGTGTTGGCTTGAGCTTTTAAGTTTTCCTTCCAAGCTGAACACAACTTTGCCGCCTATCTTCCAACCATAAGAGTTGGTCCAAGGGATTATATGGCCGTGTCTTCCCGATATTCGCTGTACGCGAGCCATGGTTTTATGAGTACTAGATATGCTTGCTGAGTTTCGCGTAAAGCGAGTAATATAAAAATTTACATGTGATTGCAAACCGGTAAAGAACACAAATCCAAATAAATGCAAGCCTAGCTTTCATTTGACAAATAGGAACATCTAAGCAGCTAAAAAAGAATCGAGGACACATTTTGCTATAAGTTGAAACAAACAATACAAAATGGACTCGTTGGCCAATGAATAGGCACCGATTGGGGAACAACAAAAATCATTTTGTAAATCATAAATGTAGTTCTCTTATTCTTCAATGAGTATTTAGTTTCGTTATTTCCAATGCTACTTTCGTTGTTCTTGATTGAGAGAGATTTTTATCGTTTACATCATATATAGGACCTCGAGCTAGAGAGATGATTAAAAATGCAAATCAAATACAAAAGCATGTCTCGAACGAGAGAGATGAGTAAGCATACAAAATCAAATACGAACAAGTGGTCGTCAACCCGCGGGTCGACCCACGGGTTGACCCACTTTGACCCTGACCCAGTGAGAAAAACGGCCGCACGCACCCGCCGGTCGACTGCTATAAGATATCGAGTTGGAGGTCAAATTGTGTCATTTTTTTCCTTGGTTTGCGAAATGCGCTTATTTTCCGATTTTCTTTTCGCCAAACTCAATCTTTGAAATTCTTAGTTGAACATTTGAATATTGATGTTATATAAGTGTATATGAATTTCACTCTATGTTGGATCTAAGTACGACATGTTACTTTGGTGTAATGTTATATGTTATTACTCATATGTTAGATGAGATTTGATATAATTTATCAAGATAAGTACAATAAAATGACTTTTTCTATATTTTCGGGCTAAAACGGGTGACCCGTTAACCCTTGACCCACTAGCTCGACCGGGTCCGGGTCAACCCGCGGGTTGACAACCTTGCGAACAACAAACAAAAATATAAGAAATAGGGAGAGAAATAAAAAAAAAATATTGACATATGTCTCTTTAAAAGATTCTCATATGATACTCTTGAAAGATTGACCTTAAACTTAGGTAAAATTATCAAAAAACCTTTTAATGAGTAGAAGCTTAACCAAGACTTTTATAGAAGAAAAAAATGGGTAGATAAACGGCGTATATTCTTCTCCATCGATTAATGATTTTCACGAGCAATATGATTCCTCTATTAATTGTCTAAGACCATCCCAAATTCCCAATGCTTGAAGTCAAAATGTAAAATTTTGCGATAGATTTGACACTCTAAAGTCATTGTGTTTTTTTTCAATGAGAGCAAGGTTGTTACATTCCTATCGGACTTTGGTTGGATCCGGTCGATCTAAGTCGAGATTCAAAACAACTTCCAGAAAGCCTTCTGGTCTAACGCCTAAAGAGGGAGAAGAAGAGAGAGGGAAGAGAGGAAGAGGAACAAAGGAAGGGAGATGGTGGGTTGGTCATGAAGGTTAAGTAGATTTATTTTGTGAAAAATAAGTTTTTAATAGATATATGTAAGATAAATTTCATTTCAGTAATTAAATCTTTAATTACTACCTTATTTGTATATATATTTAGAAAATGTCTAAAACAGCTCAAATCGGCCGAACCCCGATCAGACAACTTCAAATCCCTTGCTTGACCGACTCAATGACTTAAACCGGTTTGACAACCTTGAATGAGACTATGAGAGCAAAATGTCAAATTCAAAAATTCCTCAAATTAAAATTTCTCCGACATAATTTAGTCTAGATTTCATCATTTTATTAGATAATTCATTCGTTATTATTTTTATATAGATAGTAATAATTAATTAATTTATATATATAATTTTTAAATATGAATTTTTTTTCTCATAAAATATAACGTCATCAATGACGAAAACAAAATGTTTTGTTCGGATGGTCATGGACTCATCATATATTTGTCAAAATGAGGAGTAAAAAATTGAAAGTGGTGCAAGTAGAAGTCGAGAAATGTGATATATTAAATTATTAATAGAGAATTTTGAAGAATAAAAAAAATAGTTCTTGAAGGCTAAACTAGCGTTGGAGTGAAACTGGAGGCTGATATCAGGAAATGCAGTTTTACTTTTTCTATTAACTGCAATCAAACGTCGGGACCAACCGCATGTATAGGCAGTGGGTGGCATGCAGGAGGACTTTATCTTCAACATGATATTATAGTTGTATTAAGATTATCTCTTTTGTTTTAATTTAAAATCAATTTTTTTTTGTATAAATAACTAATTAATTAGGACTTTGCTACTTTTAGGTAAACCTCATATAGGATTAGGTCGACATAATCTGCCGTTTCAGTCTTGTGCTAGAAGGTAGCTTACTTCGTAGCAACTTCGAGCATTTTATTTGAAGCCTTCCAGATATCCAATATTTCATCCAATGCCTCGACTTTGTAGACAAACATACCTACTTTCATGTGGTAGAGGCCTCTGGACTCGAATCTCATCCATGCTTCTCGAATTGAGCTCTAAAGTAGGCTTCACAAACACTTTCCCAAACTTGTCCATTTTCAAGCAGTTTCCCAGTTTGGAATAACCTTTTGATCAGGTTCAAAATTGGTCTTATGGACTTCCAATCGAGCTCCCAATGTGTAGAGGGGCACTCCAGCTTCAAAACAAGCCATTAATCTCCAATTTACATCGAGTCAATTGTAAAATATGAATCTCCAAAGTAGGCACCATGAAACTGTTTTTAAACTGAAACAACATATTAGGTCGACCTAATCCTAACTGAAGTCGACCGAAAAGTGCAAATTACGATGACATGCATGTCAACATAAACGCACCAAATTATTATGATCGGTATAATGATATTCATTTGTTGTATTTCGAGCAAAAGAAAAACTATCCTTTACAAACATCCGCTTATTGCCATCATGTGACCTTTTTGGATAAAGATGATATATATTTTACTTTTTGTGGTTATATAGGTACATACTATTTTAAGGTTTCGAACCTGGGACTTTAGGTGCAAATCTAGTGTTATTTTATCACTAGATCAAGTATTTGTTCGTTTGTCATATGATGATCTTACCCCTATGGTCAGACATACAACATTACTATACCACTATCATATCATGACATTATCACAATTCATAATGATATGACAGTGATAATTTTTTTTGTCAAAAATAAGACTTCATATTATTTTATCAGTCTAAAGCTACTTTTCTAATCTCTCATTTTTTTCTTAATTTGCCCATATCTCCTTCATTTGAACCCATTTTTATAATAAAAATAATTTTGAGCAAAAAAAGCTATTCAAAACACGTGTTGACTGTGATATAATTACTATCATATCATCCTGATATGATAGTGATATTATGACATATCTTTTTCATTTTAGTATGAAATTTTAAATTTTTGTGTAAAAAGAATCAATTAATTATTATCTATAAAATTATATTTATTTTGTTGTGTTTTGAGCAAAAAAATATGTTTGTTGTAATCACGTATCACTGTTATATCACGACCTTAACCTTATGGTTAGATCAACAACACTGTTATGCCACTTTCATATCATAATATTCTAACTATTAATAGTAATTTGAAAGTGGTATGATGACATGAATTTTTTTTTCTCAAAGATAAGACTCCATGTCAAGGTCTTGGGATACTCGGAGGCATGAGTACCCAAGCAAGACCTTTCATCTTTTTCCCAGATTAGGTGGTGATAAACCCGAAGATCGATGATGTATACTCAATATTCTTTAGAGACCATTCCTTGCAACTATTGGTGCCTAGATCGACGCAACAAGATGAGATATCATCAAAAGTTGTCTAGGAAACTCTTCTTATATGATATGTTATTGCCTTAGGCATGTATAAATTGAACGATCACCTTTTCGTGTATGCATGAGAATCAATGATTGATTCATTAGGTCATCAAAGCCTAGAACCAATTTCATGATTCATCGAGATCCAAAACAACAACATGCTATCCTTACTTCCTTGTTATAATTTATTAGTTAGTGACATGAAGCTAAAGTACGAATTAAGTAGTTATAGTTCCTCTCGCAAGTGGCGAAAACTCGATTTGGATTGCTTTAGTGGAAGAGATAGGGCATCAATACATCATGATAGAATAGATGCATGGATGCATACCATAAATGAGAATAGTATGCATGATCGTCTAGATGAAGCTACCTAAACATAGTTATCCTATCTATCTATATGTTTGTAGCATTTGAGCATGAGTTGATTAGTTACAAAATAGTTGCTATTTGAAGACCCTACGGAATATGATCTTAAGCATCTCTAGAATTATTACTTAGATGCATGATACACCCTACATCAGTAGTCCTCCAGCTTAACTACCGCGCAAGGAATATTCTGAATGGGCTCCAAAATGGCGGCCAAGGGTTTAAGTAATTGGTTCACGACTTCACTCCATTCTCGATTTTTGCTCCTAGCAGTCGAGTCTTGATGTCCCCCATCACGTACAAAGTGGTCCACTAAGATGCTATGTTTTGAAAACACATGAAACACTATCGAGAGTTCATCAAAATAGAAAAAGCGATCCTTGAGCTACCTAAACACACTTTGTGTGATCCATGAAGCAAATTCAAGATATTATTACGATAAATATGTGAATAATATGCAGTTTTGGCCATAATATTATGAAGGTCTAAAATTTTACTTCCTACATGTAATCAGGGGTATTGTAATCTCTAGGTATGCTTGAAATCACAATAAGGATTTGGCATCTTATTGGTTCAAGTTTGTGTTTCAACA